GGCAGCTGTCGTCTCCGATCATCCGGTGAGCGCCAGTCCTGTGTCCGTTCATCCCAGAGATGGGTGACCAGGACAATACCCTTTGCCATCCAGGACCTGGCGAAGTTACCCCTAGCTTCTTTAGTCTGGAAAGGGGAACCAGAATCATCTTTGATCCAATTATTGTCGAACAGAGCTCGGTTTGCAATTTCCAGTTTGGTTGTGCGTTCTTTAACTGCTGCGGCTTAACTGTTGACCACGCATGCAGGATCCCTTGCCATACTTACGGTTTGACTCTTTTGTGCTTAGCCAGTTCAGTATGCAGCAGGCTGATCCAAATGTCCTGCCCTGATTTGAGTCCAAATTCCGCCATCAGCACGTACTCTGCCATTGCCACCCATTGGTTGCCCTCTGTATCTAGTAGGGCCTTTACGAGCCACTTGGCCAGCAAATCATAGTTCTGGTGCTTGGGATCCGGCAGGCCCAAGCCACCTTGATCCCTGGTCTGGGTCACTGTTTCTCAAGCAACCTTCACTATGAAACCCTGCTGATCTGTAGTTGCCGGTTTCCAAAGGTAGCGTGCTGCAACTGGTTTGATCTGGGTGTAGGCTTCTCCAAGCAGGCGAATTGCCAGCGGGAACCACAAAATTGAGAGGGCTGCCGGTGTCAGCACTAAGGCTCTCCCAAAAAGGGAGAGCTTGTGGTTTCTAATCCAGCCAGCAATTCGCGCTTGAGATTTTTTCCACCAACAATTTGTCCTGCCTAGAGGCACAATTGGACATGGAGACCTGGATCCCCAGAAACCGTTCTGAGCTCTCCACCGGAATTTGACGGAGACCCCAATCCAGACATAAATCATAGAGAGGGGAGATGACGTACACAGATTTATACAATTGATTCTTTCCGGGAAATTGAGGCCTTGTCCAATCATCCAGTTTTGTTTTGTTCAATGATGGCATTGGATGGGCATCGGGAGTGTCATGGTTGTTGCGAGTCTACTATAGGCTGTGCGAATCTGAATGGACAAGGGGAAAATGTCAGGGCTAGCTAGCTGATTCCGGTTAGAAAATCCCCTAGTCCAAGCCGAGAAGAGGGTACCTCACCAGTGCAGACGGCCAGGTGTACGACCATGGCACATATGGCCAGGCATTGTCCAGACCGGGCTAGTTTTGGGGCTTCCAAACTCGAGTGGGTCATTCCTGTCGTTGCCCCACGGAGGGAAGGAGGAGCTTGCAGGTGGTAGTATTATCTGTCTTCACCCGAATAGAACACCCGGGTCATTATCGCTGCATGTTTGGACTGAAAGTTGCCTGAAATACAGCTATAATGACCGGGCATTTTATTTGGATGAAGACGGGCAGTAGTTTGTCTGAACAACGGAAGTCCTGCGTTGGTTCAGTCATCGCCGGGGTGCTGAGAGCAAGCAGAAGCTGGCGAGGTGGTCAGGCTCCCACCCTAAATCAGGGAAATCGAGGAGAGATTCGATGATGGTACTCCGTTGCTGCATCGGGCCAGTGTTGGGATTTGAAGGCTTGACTGGGCTATTTATTTCTCTCACTGCCCCGCATAGGAAGGAGGGGGGTGCAACTTTTTTTTTTTTTAAAAGTAAGCTACAGTCTTTCTCAATTTCACCTCACACTACCAACTTACGACTACTACTAATTATAGTCATACGGGGAACCCCGTAGCAGCCAGAACCGTGTTTTTCTCTCGTGAACAGGGAACTGCAGCTGGCAGTAGTTGATCTGACCGACAAAGTGCTGCTGTTGATTCGGTCATGGTCCGGACTGTGAAAAGAAGCAAGCAGGGGCTTCGGCTCTGAGGTGGGCAGTTTCCTCCCAAAGGAGGGGGAATCCGAGGGGAAGTGGGGTTGCGATGATGGGCATTCTGTTCCTGCAATGAGGACCTGGCCATATTGCAGCTGGAAACGAATTGACTGGGGGTGGTCATGTGGTGATTGAACAATGAGCAGTCGGATTCCCAAGCAGGTGAGCAATCAGCTGTCAGGCAGCTTCTGCACAGCCACAGATAGGAGAAAAAGGATTCAAACACCTGACCTTGGGGGGAGTCATAGTCATATTGCCTTGTGCAGGCGATGATGACAGGGAAAGCGAATTCGCTGGGAGCGACAGTTTGATTAAACGATGACCCATCAGAGGCCCAAGCAGTCGATCCATCAGCTGTTGGGCAGCTGCTGCACTGCCACAGATTAGGAGAAAAGGGATTCTAACCCTTAACCTTGGGAGGAAGTCATCATATCGCCTTGCGCACAAGATGATGAGAGGGAACAAACGTTTTCTCCTCCCGCCATATTTTTCTGCTCATGTTTAGAATTAGGTGGTAATGCTGTCCGAGATATGGTAGGTTTTTGACACCTTTGAAGTTTCATCTGCATCTGCATTTACATGCGGTGGTGCAGGGCTGACGTGGGAGAGAGGACCAGCAGGGGATGGAGGACTGAAGCAGGGCGAGGAAATGACATTCCAAGTGGATAGAAAATCAGCAGCTGCTCCTAAGGCGGGGGCAAGGAGCTTGCAAAACTCTGGTTGGGGTATCACCGGAGAACTTCACCCCTTGGTTCGAGCTCTACGGTAAAATAATGCATTGCTTTATCCTTTGCCAGTTTCTCACGTATGTCATTGGAAACCCATGCTTCCGCCTGTCACCAGAGCTCTTAGGACACACTAGAAATCCTTTTCAGCACTTACAACAACATTCGGCATTTCGTGTGGGTTACGGATGAGAACGTTTTGGACGGATACCCTTTGCCAGACCTTGCTGCACCACACCTGTTACCCGTGCATACATGGGTCTGGAATACCTTCCTTTTATTCTTTTCTTCGGGGGGGGGTTGATTTTCCTCCAAAAGGTCTGAAGGTCTGGATTTCTAGCGTGACGTTTCCTAGTAGGATTTGCAGTAGATTTTAGAATGCCTAACTTGCAGGGTGAATTGCATTTGTGAGTTTTCTGTGAAGGGAGGAGTGCGCAATGTGCATGGAACATGGGGTGGCGTTCCTTAGCTCCTGGTGCAGTTTCATGTCTTGCGGAGGGGAGGAGGATCCAGGGACGGGTTAGTTGGGTGCTGCTTCTTGATTGGATGAGATGGAAGCATATGGGCTGAAATAGGATACAGTTGGCAAAGTGTTAACAGGGAACCTCTCAGCGACTTCTATAGAACCCTTCTAGATGGCTTTTGATTTCTTGTTTTGTGGATCTTTTTCCTCTCTTTTTGTTTTTGTTTACTTCACTGATGTCTATGATTTTCGTTTTCCCTTTTTGTGGATCATTCTCTAAGGAGTTCTTTTTTCTACGGTGAATGGATCAGAAAGAGATGTTCAATTTCAGTGGTTGAAGTTGCAGAAGGCACAAGTTGACATATAAAGCAGATCCGCATCTCTAAGAATGTTGCAGTCTGAATCTGGAGAAGGTGTTGGGTTTAGGTGGGATAAAATGCAGTTGCACAAAGCAGCAAGTTACACTGAACGAATCCACTGGACTGAGCATCAACTCCATCGTCGGCAGAGCTCTTAACTGATGAAGAATGTCGTAATCAAGTCGGGAAACAGAAAAACACTGAGTTCAATCTGTTGCAGACTTCTGTCTCAACTAATGAAGAACGACGTAATCAAACCCATGTAACAGCCAAACACCTCCCAGCTCTTGCGGGAAGAACGTTGTAATCAAGTTTGGAAACAGAAAAACACTGATTTCAACTGTTGCAGACTTCTGTCTCAACTGAGGAAGAAAAACGGAATCAAACTCGGGTAACAGCCAAACACCTCCCAGCTGTTGCGGACTCTGTTGCAACTTGTGAAGAACGACATAATAATAAAACCCAGGAAGCAGCAAAACACAAAGTGACAACTCTTGCGGGCTTTGCGAAGTCCAACCTCGACAGCAGAGCGAAACGAACAGCATCTGGAATGCCATTGCTAAGTGGCACTTGTTCACAAAGAAACGAATGGTAACGTTTGTGCCTAGGACCTGGTGGTATTGCAAGTGCAGATGTAGGACAGATGTGCCCATGACCTAGTGGTAGCAGAACTGCTGGATTAGCAAGACACTCTCTTTTCGTTTCTCTTCTGTCTCTCAATCGCTTCCCTCTTAAAAGCACAGTGCCTATCCCTATGCTGCTCTCACAATGGTGTTGATCCCCGTACTATCACAACTAATCATCAATTGGTCCACGGAACTTCGCACCAGCGTATGCAGACCGAGAAACATCACAACCCTGTGCCTTTGCAAGCTCCAACCTAGCAGCTCTCCCTTGGTAGGTAGACTGTAACGCCAAGGGAAAAAACGCTCTCCTGAGGCCCTCCTCCAGCAGTGCCAGATGAAGTGAGCTCCAACTCCGATCAACTATGGAGCCCCAATGGTGCATGCATAGTCGCCGCCTCTTTGCACCTCTCCTCCACAATCACTTCCGTTGGAACTCCAGGCTTAGAGTTTGTGTCTTAGCAGCTCTGCTGTGAAATGGTTGACGCAATCAAGGAGGAAGAGCAACAGGAGGTGTTCTTGTGGTTTACAGTACTGCATATGGACCTTCACCATTCAAGAAGGTCAGAAAAGGATGTAAAAATCCTTCGGGACTTCCATTAAAATTGGAGCGATACAGAGAAGATTAGCATGGCCCCTGCACAAGGATGACACATAAATGGAGAAGCGGTCCAAATTGAAAAACAAAAGGGAAAAGAAAAGGAAGAAAAGGAGGGCAAAAACACTGTTCATTATGCTAGCAGGTTCTTGGGTGATCTGGATTAATAGATTCTGTGTGGATGTGTGGGTAGAGAGAACAGCAGAAACATCAGAGAGAATGAGTGAAATTGTACAATTTTTTTTTTTTTTTTTTTTTTTTTTTGTGTG